CCGTCATTGTTGTTTGGCGGGTCCGGGCTGGGGATTCGAACCCGCCACCTTAGGTGTACGTGGCTGGCGCCTTAGCTGGTTGAGCCACAGGCGCCGAGCCTAAATGGGAAGTCTTAATGCAGGCCACCCCACTTCAGCTCTTGGTCCATTGAAGGCCTTATCCTGGTATGGTGCAGATGAAACATGGGACTTTAAGTGAGGAGACCCGGGTACTGCCCAGAATTGGCAATGTTTAAGCTGTGTGACCTTGCTCAAGTCACTGTTTATCCCTGATCTCTTCCTGTAAAATAAAGTTAGCTTGTTATCCTTAACCAGAATCACATATGGGTTTATGAGGTCAAGGCCATGAAATTTTATGCAGAGTGATGTGAGGATATTTGCCTGGAAAAAGGGTCCATGGCTTTCACCATATTCTCAAAAGGATCTCAAACTCCAGTAAGGTTAAGAGATCAGGCACTAGAGCAGTGATTTTCAGCTGGTGTGCTGTCAGAGGATTGCAGGGTGCCACGAAAAATTTTAAAGATCATTCATTAAATTATTTTCAAAAGAAGTTCAAAGCACAGTAAGTATATTCTTTATTTTTACTGTTTTTTGATCAACATAATTTAAGTGTGCCACAGAAGTTTAACGATAAGTTCAAGAGTGCCGTGGGATAGAAAAGGTTGAAAAACACTGCACTAGAGGCTCATTGAGGACAGTAGAATATGGCCCAGCCTCTAAGTCTTTCCCTCTTTACCCCTCTTCCCACAGAGGAAGGCATTACTGGGTGCCCACCAGCAAGCGGCTGTTTGGGGGTCAGATTGTGGGCCAGGCCCTGGTGGCTGCAGCCAAGTCTGTGAGTGAAGACGTCCACGTGCACTCCCTGCACTGCTATTTTGTTCGTGCAGGTAAACTCCCCACTTGCTGCCCCCAGCCTAGCCCCTGGTGGCCCAAGAGCCATCTCTAGCGTTGGGGGCTGACTGAGGAGAAAGGGGTAGAGAAGGAGACCCAGAGGGAATGGAAGCCAGGGGAGGGAGAGTGGCTAAGAGGTGCCTGAGGAGGAACAAGGACTGGGGTTAATGTGGAGCCTTACACCTCACACCTGCTGAGACTTGTTGGTATTTGTTAGCTGGCCCGTAATGATGCCAGACTTTGTTACTTAACTGCACCCAATGGGCCTTTTGTTCTTCATTGGTCTGAGGGGTCCTGTAACCTCTGCTAGCAGATTGGAGTTAGGCAGCTTGGGTTAGAAAAGGAAACACAGGGCTCAGTGCCTGTAGCAAAGTGGTTAGGGCGCCAGCCACATATGCCAAGGGTGGCAGGTTCAAACCGGCCTGGGGCCAGCTGCAACAAAAAATAGCTGGGCGTTGTGGCAGATGCCTGTAGTCTGGAGGCTGAGGCAAGAGAATTGCTTAAGCTCAAGAATTGGAGGTTGCTGTGAGCTGTGATGCAACAGCACTCTACGAAGGGTAACATAGTGAGACTCTGTCTCAAAAAAAAACAAAACAAAACACTGGCCTAAGAGTCGAGAAACCTAGGGCTAGGTCCCAGCTTTGCCAAGAATTTGCCCTGCGCCTTCAGTGATGTTACCGCCCTACCCTGAGGCTTGATTTACCTTATCTGTAAAATGGAGGAGGGGCAGGACCAGGGGTATTTTGATGGGATGATCTCTACAGCTGTTGAGAGCTCCAATATCAAATAAAGAAAATACTTGTAATTTGAAATCACTGCTCTTTTTAAAAAAATCACATCAAATCTCATTTGCTTTCTCTTCTTCCCTCTCAACCTTAGGGCAGATGCCCCCAATTTTAAGATTTAGTATCTTCAGCAAAGACCCACCAGCTGAGAAGAGTTTATGGGACTTTACAATATGTGATTTGTGTTAAGCAAATATTAGTGGGTGTTTCCCCCTTCATTTTACAAATTGAGAAGTTATACCTGTAATAGTAAATACAATTTTCCACTCTATTCCCATATCCCTCATTCCTCATCCTTTTATTTCTCCGCCCTCCACTGTCCTTGCTATAAAGTATTTGAATACTTACTGTGAGCCCAGCCAGGTTGCTTTATTTCTTTAATTTGGTCCTAAGGCTCCAAAAGTGATAGCCTTTTGATATTGTAATCTTTCTACACTAGTGAGATACCTGGCTGTTTTGTTTTGTTTTGTTTTGTAGGGGTGGGGGCATTACTTGATCCCTCTGAATCTCTTTCTTCATCCTGTGATCAAAGAATTCTATGAGTCTTTGCAGGTAAAGTATCTAGTGCAGGGCCTGGCATGTTGCTAGTTTTCCATACATGATAAACTATCATTACCTTTGATAATGAATTTAGGGAAATAGTTAAGATTTGCATGATACAGGCTGGGCACTGGTGGCTCACACCCCTTAATCCAAGCACTCTGGGAGGCTGAGGCAGGTGGATTGCTTGAGCTCAGAGGTTCCAGACCAGCCTAAGCAAAAGCAAGACCCCACCTCTAAAAACAGCCAGGCATTGTGGCTGGCTGTAGTCCCAGCTACTTAGGAGGCTGAGGCAGGTGGATTGCTTGAGCTCAGAGGTTCCAGACCAGCCTAAGCAAGAGCGAGACCCCACCTCTAAAAACAGCCAGGCATTGTGGCTGGCTGTAGTCCCAGCTACTTAGGAGGCTGAGGCTAGAGGATCACTTGAGCCCAAGAGTTTGAGGTTGCTATGAGCTATGTCAAAGTGAAACTCTCAGTTTTTTTTGTGTGATACAGAGTACAGCCTTGTATATTGTCCTGGTTATTCTTCATAAATGAACAGGAGCAGTGAGCATTCCATTCTTACATAAGGAAAATAGGACCTGAAGAGGTTTTATAACCAGCTCCCACAGTGCTCAGGGAGACAGAGCCATGGTTTGTGTGTCTCAGAGTGCTAAACTCTTTCCTGTTTCTTTGCTTCTAACACCCTTGGCAGATAATTTCAAATTATGGGAGAGCTGCCAGGTACCATCTCAGGCTCTGGGGGGAAATCTCTTGGAAATTCTCCA